AGCAGGAATTTCGATGGAGAACCAGAGACCAAATGTGCGTTTGTGTTGAATAACTTTTGTTCTCTGGTTGGCGGCTTCTTCTACAGGACTTTTCTGCAATCTCTTTTAGAGACTAGCCCTGTTTGTTTAACAACATACAACAAATAGCCAACATATATAGTTGAGTTCTAATACACATCCTCAACTACGTCCAACTATAACCACTAAAAATCGTTAAGGTCTAATACACAAAACTCCAATAATAATTGATGTAAAAAAAACAACAAGCAGAATCTAAAATAAAATTATACTTATACATCCACCACATATAAATTGTAATTTAAAATTTATTAGTGAATATTTTTCTTTAAGCAGCACGTCTCTCTAAAGGGTGTACATGTTCTTGAATAAAATAAATATCAACCTAGAAAAAACAAAATTATCAAGCATATTATTTAATTTTTTAAACTAAATAGAAAAATATAATTAAAAAAATTCCTTAAAAACCTTTTAGACCACATAATTGATATCCAATTAATCCTATACTCAAATCAAATCCAATCCCAATTATTTTATACCTTTTTGGTGAAGGAAAAGAACTTGGATGATGAGTTTTTTGAGCTGGAGGTGGCGGCAATATGTACATTGATGGAGTTGTGGCAATCAATTACCAATGATATGATTGCAATTACCAATCAAGATGATTCTTCTAAATGAGAATCGGTTTTGAGATAGAAGAACAAGCTAAATATATTGTTATTTCTCTCTCTCTCTCGAAATATATATAGTTCATTTTAAGCATTAAGATATGAACACATCCCAAATAAACAGCCCATTTGACCATTGTAAGAGGAACTGAAGCAATTGAGAGACATGGAGCAGAGGGGCTGTATTGAGAAGATTATTATGATGAGGTGCTGCATTAACAAAAATCGAATATTACAGATACCATCCAGCTGATTATCCCCACAGTGCCCGAGAGACACTCCAAGTGGAATTCTTTTTCCTTTTTCAAAATAATTATTTTTTTAAAAAAAATTTTAATAACGTTTTTCTAATGTGAGACCAAACAAGTCTTATTTTAAAATTGAAAAACGCGGGGTGCCGTATACCATGAGGCATTGGTGACGAGCAGTTAGTGCCACCGATTTTTAAGAAAATCGACTCAAACGTGGAAAAGGACCTTGATAGTAACATTTAGCTTTTTGAAAGATCAAATTGGAGTCCTCCCTTCAAATAGAAGAATACATCCACATTATAGGTATCTTTAATAGGAAATATGAAGCCATATGCTTAATATTTATCGAAATCTGACTAAAAGCTATTAGTTTTATTTCATTCTAATAAATTAAAAAAAAGAAAAAGAAAAAGAAAAAGATTAAAACTTTATTTAGGGACTCAATGGATATGACTAAAAAATCATATGTTTTTTACAGTATTAATAAGAAATAAATATCTCTTATATATTATTAATGAGATAATAAGTATGACAGGTCTGTTAAAAGATATTATATATACTTATGAGTATAAAGAAATAATTGTATTAATATTAATGATTGTTTTAGATGAAGAGACATAATAGCATATCACGCCTTCAATACTTTTATTTTAAAAAATTATCTATGATCAAGTATATGACCTTAAAACTTAGTAATGATTGAATCCAAATGCTTACCATATCATACCCACATTATCTTAAGCTTAGCTGACTCTCAAGCCTAATTTAGAGTGAGTCTGGTATATTTGTCAGACTCACGCTACTTTGAATTTGACTAACTATTAAGTTCAAATCCTTTAAAATTTGACACGATTGCTAACACAATTTACTTTTTAAGAGTATTTCTATTTATAAAAATCTTACAAACAAATGTTGACTCATCATTCATCATATCCTTTAGGTAACCAGGTAGGTTGCTTGCAGTGACGGTGCTAGAATTTTTTAAATGAGGGGGCAAATTACTAACAATATTATATTATATAGATATGTATTAGAAATCAGTTCAAAACATATATACTAATTCATATTAAGTAAAATTAATATGAACCTGCAGGATTTTTTTTATCATCATTAGTATCTACATAATAATTAACACAACTACGCAATAACTTACTATTAAATAAAAGTCAGTTGAGTTATCTAATAATTCTAAATCTTTCATGTGGAATTCATAGCAAAATACATATCCATTCATCAAAATCAAAACTTATTCCAATTCATATCTATAAGCATATAATAAGTATGCTGATTAAATTATACTTAATTATTTGTAGACATTTAATTGGGGAACAATGCTTGAAAAACATGTTTTATACTTATAATTTTACTTATTAAAAAATCATGTGAAAATATTAAATTTTAATAAATTATTTTATCAATGCAAGAAACGTCAAGAATAGTGGTTTTGTATAAATATTAATTTATTTTTTATAATAAAAAAGAAATATTTAATTGATTAAATTAGCAGATTCAAACATTTATTTTGAATATATTCATATCAAAACTCTTAAATTA